ACTTGCTTCTTGCTGTTTTGAACCTTTGGAGAAAACTTTCTGCCCATTCATTTGGCATTTGACGTAGATTCGCCAAATTAGCCAAAGTGACTTCAGATTCAGTTTTGTAAAACTGAGCATGAAACAACTGTTCCAGTTGTTGCCATGTTTGAACGGAGTTCGCTGGCAAGTTAATGAACCAGGAGAAAGCTACTCCTGTTAACGAACTGGGGAAAAGTCTCATTTTATGGTAATCGGTTACATCACCACTTTGCAACGTGAATCGCCCTATGTGTTCCAGAGTAGACACCTCTCCTAAACCAGTAAACAGTGAGAATTCTGGCACTTTGTACCCTCTAGGCCATGGATATGCTTGGTCTACCCAATCAGGATATGGCTTTGTGTAAGTCGGTCTAATGACAGGACGCACCCCAAAGGTCATCTGATCCTGCACGATTTCCATAATCTGGTTCGTCAACATGACATTGGGATCGTATGGAATTCCTACAGGCTGATTAACCGGTTGATTTGCATGAGGTCTGATGTTTGGTTCTTGATTGGCAACAAAATTACCATAATTAGGGCTATTACCATTAGCCTGGACATCTACCCCCTCGTTACCACGTGGAATATTCTGTCCATTGTTTAGGACATTATCTCTCACGTTTGTATTACCCCCCAAGTTAGGCATACCACTACTACTACTTTGATTTGGTATTGTAGCACCTCCTTGGTTTGAAGTAGAGGGGCCAGCAAGTGGTTCTACCCCTTGACTTATATTTGGGACCGAAGGATTATGTCCTATGATCGTCCTAGTTTGAAAGTGACTTGTAAGAGGTATAGCCGGTTGACATATTTGGCCCATTAACTTGTTCATTGTTTCATTCAACGTCTTTAGTTGTTTGGCCATATTGTCATAGTGTGCATTACCACTTTGTGTAAATCTTTCCATATTATGAATACTTCGAAGATTTACCTGTTCAACGATGTCTTGCGTGAGTTCTCCAAGCAATGCACGCATGGTTCGAGGACTCAGCTCCGTCATTGGTTCGTAACAACTGTTACTGCTCTGATTTTATCCATCTGTTCGTGGAGAGGCATGTTGCTCCTCATATCGCTCGATTACAGACTGGATTCCTCCCTGACTTGCTCCTTCCTTGTCGGATCTCTGAGGCATATTGTTTCACCTTTTGCACCTTCAACACCTAACACCACCGTCCCACTAGGCGTGCCAAATTGTTTCGCGCGTGTTAATTCGCTAACAATTAAAGAGGATCAGACGATTGTGTAAGGGACGAAACCTTTTGAGACAAAATCCCAAAAAGGGGTGTTCCTTTTATTGGCGATGAACTTTACAATTGGAAACAGAAAACAACGTGCCTCCAAGAGGCGCAAGCACACGAGTTACAGAAAAGGAAGTGTTTAAGTCTAAAAGCTAAAGGAATGAAAATTACATATTCTCTGTTCGAGAGTTTTGGATTCGGTCCTTTGCTTCTAAGTTCTTTCTCCCTTTTATACTTCATAGGCGATCCCTTTGTGATTAACTGCTCTAAAAAACTGCTTGATCGCCCTATAACTACCCACTTTCTTTGTAGTGGCCATTTTGTCATGAAACTGTCCTTTTAACTGCTGCCATTATCTTGCATCGTTCAACCGCTTTCGATTGAACCCCTTGAGTCGTGGAACGTGGTAAGGTTACTTTAGCAACTGTCTCAATAACTGCATTTCTTGATAATCATAATGCGTTATATTTGTTGATAGCTTGGGTGACTTGAAAATTTGGGCGAGACTCCGGGCGACCGTATGCCACTCTATTCGTTCAGACTCTGAGCGACTTGCAAACTTGGGCGATGGCGTTACCGCACTATTGGGCCCCTTATTTGGGCCTTCACCTTGATTCGTTCAATTGGATTTCGTTCTTTGGACTATCTGATTTGGAGATCCTCCAATTGGGCTTTACTCTCTGTGCTGTTCGATTTGGGCTGAATTTTTATGTGTCAACAAAAGTGCTTATAAAAAATACAATTGAATTCTAACCTTCGTCTATTTTCTTTTGTTTATCTGTATTTTCATTTAATACTGTTATTATCTCTTCACATTAATCACATTTTTTATAAAGCACATTTTTTGGGTTAATTTATCGTTAACTAAATTCGAAATTTATAACATTGAGTTGAAGGAATGAGTACAATGCCTGCCTGCTATTTAATTTCGATGAAATCTTTCTTCCACCTAATGGTGAAGACCCAGGCAAACTCCAAATTGTAATATTCATGATCTGAATTCCAGTCAAGTCACTGTAATCTTCATCGATCACGGTAGGGATTACTCTGCTCTCTCCTTAGGGCGATTCGGAAACCAGGCATTCGTCCAAGCCAAGCCCATTCACGAGATCCTCATGAGTGGTATATGTGATAATGAGTTTGATAAATTTGGGTGATCATTTGAAAGACTTTGAGGGCCAATGAGATAATGATATGATAAGTTCGGTGACCATTCAATTTTCTTTTAAAGTTTAATGACCAATGAAAAACATCGTTCAAGGTTTAATAACCATTTGAATTTTTAACACAAAAAACATTACTATATTAAAATAATATTTTAAGTTGGGAGAAATATTTGGTCTCAAATTATTATTATTATTATTATTATTATTATTATTATTATTATTATTATTATTATTTTCTGCGTTTCATTACAGGTTTAATTATATAAAATTTTAATTGTTAATTTAATCAAAGTGAAAAAAGAATATTGCTAATCAGAATGATACGGGAATCGAGTAATTTTTTGAATTTTTTTATTAATTATAATAAATATGTAATGATAGAAAAAGGCCATGTTTTAGTAGATTGGTTCCCCCAAATACTTTATGGCATGACGTCAAAATTTAATATGATTTAAATTGGCTTCTTAATTTAGAAATTTACTTGCATTTGCATGCATAGATAATTAAGATGGCTAATATCTCCGTACAATTTATCGATGGATTTTTTTTTATATAATGATAAATATTTAACTTAAATCACCCAAAAAATAAACCTTAAAATGAATTGTATTTGAAAATAAAATAAAAATTATATGTAGCATGCAAATGACGTGGCAAGCCATTTTCGTGCCACGTTTCACAAATGACACGTGCTAACAAGTTGACATCTCAAGGTCACTACAAAAGAAAAATTACAATGCAGTCTTGAACAGACAGCATTAGCAATGGAGAAAGATAAAGAGCAAGAGAGAGATAAGGCGTACGGTGGCCGGAAACAACCACCTCCGTCGAATATATCTCCGATGAAACCGGTGACCAAGGAGGCGTACGGCGGCGGGATGTACGGCGAGGAAGTGGGGCAAGAAAAACAAGCAAGAAAGCCACCAGCCAGTGAGACTCAAAGTGCAGATGGGCCGGCGGAGGCCACCACCACCCAACCTAAGCATAAGCCCCCACCTTCAACCGGTGATCGTGACGTCGATATCACCGGCCAATCTTATATTCAGTAGCTTAATTATGTGATTTTTCTTGGGTTTTCTTTGTAATGAATTATTTTGTTTAATGTTTAATTAATTCAGCTTATTTTGGTGGACTATCTTTATTTGTACTTAACCATGAGAGTTTTATGGCCGCAAATTGAATTAGAAGGCTCTTCCAAAATATTTAAAAAAAAAAAAAATAAGTAATAGAACTCTCAATCTTGACTGAGAACTCGCCACCCTCAGAAATTAATAAATAATAATAATAATAAATTAAAGCTTCCCCATTCTTGTCTTCTCCTTCTTTTTTTTTTTTTTTTTTTGGGAAACCGTTGAAAATAAGATACGTTTCCTTGTTCATTCTCTAACCCCACTAGGCCGTAGTGTTTGTGTTTAAGTTTTGAATTTTAAATTCATTTTCGGTTTTCAATTTCGTGGGTCCATTATGAGATTATAAAAATATGTTTAATATATCTTTTCGATTTTATTTTTGCAAAATTATTATTTTTTATTTTTAGAGTTATCAATTTTATTTTCTAAATTTATTTTTCTTGAATTTAGTTTGTTAAAATTTTATCTAAATAAATTTTTTTCCACGTTTTAAGTGTTTTTAGAAATTTCATTAATAACATTCAAAAACGTCAAAAATACGTTTTAAGTTTTAAATTTTTTTATTGTTTCAAAAATGCATTTTTAGAAATGAAACACCTTTTTTTTTTTTTTTTTTTTTTTTTTTTTTTTTATTTTTTTTGCAAAACTAAAAACTAAAAATAGTTTGAAAATAACAAATCAAACGTACCAAACTTTGCAAAAATAGTTACAGTAAAGAATATTGTTATGTAATTTAGAGTTACTCTTCGTTCTAGACGTAATTAATTAATTAATTTTACATGTTAAATAATATTTGTATTTTTTATTTTAAAATTTCTAATCACATGACACTTCACACATACTTCACACATATTTGTATTTATATAAAAATATTTCTATAAACAAAAATAAATTTAACTAAATTAGCAGTATGAATAGGTTTGTCTAAATGTAGTGGTTCTATTAAGAATAATAATAAAAAATAAAAAATTATGCTCTCTATTTTCTCTTTCTCGTTTCTTATATTTTCTCACACATATTAATTATATTTTCCTTTTCCTATTATAAATTGAATTTGAATCATAACAAAGTTCAGATGAAATTTGAAGTCATCGTCTATTAATTCGGCATCGTTATTACGTAGATTGGTAGCAATTCTATTGTACATTGCATTGTTCAAATTTCACTTTTTTGCTATCTAAAATAACAACAAAAAATTTCATTTAGCTATTCCATTGAAATTAACCCACTAATTTAATTAATTTTACCTCACCAAATATTACCCAAATGTCACCAAAATTTTATAATTCTCATTCCGATCCATCCCTCAAAAATTCTCAATGGGACAGGCACAAAAAGGACTACCTCGGCCCCCTATGGCTATGACTAATTGGAACTCAATATATATTTTAAATCGACTCGGAAGCGAAGAATTCTTTCGAGTATAAAACGGGTACTAAATAAAATTCCTTAGAACTATAGAGAGTAAAGTTATGTATAGTGAACGATATTTAAGACATTTATTTTTTGTAATTCTATTGATTGAAATAAGAAATTAATAGCTCAAATAACAAATTCACACATAGAACCACTGTTGGAGTGATTAACTATTAATGCGTGTTTGATTGCAAGTATGAAATTTACATGAAAAGAAAATAAATAAATTAATTAAAACTTATTTACATGAAAATTGTCAACTAAATGTTTTTAATTGATTTAATTTTCAACATAATCAAATGCATCCTTAACGTCGTTACTCAATTATAAATTGACCTAAAATAGTTTGGGAAGACTAATGATGTTATTCCTTTGATTTCTATTACAAGGCACATAATTTGTAGTGATTAAATTTTTCCAAACATAAATATATATTTTATGCTACCATTTGATACTATTTTTGGTACAAATTTGAACTTTCCTGAGGCAGAAGTTGATATTACAGAAAAGCCAAAAAGGACACGTGGAAGATAGTCGAAACATTACCCATTGGCAATGCATACAATGTCGACCCTAATGTGCAAAGTGCAAATGACAAAATTTTAACTTCTTTTTCTTTCTTAACGCTATCTAATTTTGTCGGATACCTGACACAATTGCACAAAGGTATTAGAAGCAAGGACGAAACTGCAGAAACATCAGCCAATGATGCTGACAAACAAATGGCTTTACAGTCCAATTCGAATTTGAATGCTAGAAAAAACAAAAGAATGAACATAATGATGAACAAACAGGAGATCATTCTGTCATACAAGTTCAGCAATATCAAATAATGTCGAAAATCTTTCAGACCGCCTATGTTAACCACATTAACTATTGAAACCGGTTTCATTGTGACGGGGAAGATTCATCTGGTGGTTCATCTGTAGGCGGCGTAGAGCCAAAATCAAGATTCGGGTAGATTCCACGAGGTCTTTCCCTGGGTTGGATGGACAGCAACTGCGTCGAATCACCCACAACATCGGCCCATCCATAATGGGGATCAGCCCTTTAATAAGTAGAATGAATTGATTAATTTCAAGTATGTCACAGGGACAAATAACAGGGAAGCTATAATTTTATAAACAAATCTAAGCAGATCGACACAAGAAGAAGATAGAGCTATTGTAGATATACTGGGATATAGTGACTCACTCATAATAAGTTTCTTCATCTACCACAATATCCCAGCTTTCTCCAGTTGTGCTTTTACCGTACTTGTGCACTTTGCTGTCACACAAAAAAGTTCATCAAGTCCCATATCGATGAGCTGATTCTACAAACATCGTAGCATTTATTACTGGTAAAGTAAAAGTTACTTTGTATTTTCGAACATGTTTGGATAAGTAACTTTGCCCACTTGTAAGTAAAAAAAGTTGCTTTTTATGAAAATAACTCTAACCTCACTCAAAATAAGCAACTTAGTTTCAATTTTATGGTAGCAAGATGTATCATTGTGTGTGAATTTAAGCTTAGCCAGAGCATGCTGTTAAGTAGATACAGTTTTCTTTTATTAAGCATTGTCGTCAACGATGGAAGTGCAAGAAATATAATGAATTGTGAAGGGAGCTTGTTAGTTGCCAAAGGAACAAGTACCTATTTCCAAAGTGCTCTTCACCCCATGTCCTCGACCATCCTGTAATTTTGATAGAGAAACAGTTAAAATTTTGGAAGCAGAAATGCCATTTTTCAAAATTAAGCATTCTGAATGCTATCAGTTTCTAGCACTAATAATGATTACACAAAAGTGTGATTATGTTGTGATAGTATCTCAATGGTCAAGATTATATAATTCATGATTTTATAGAAGTCAACAAAACCACACATCTAATTCATTCAATTTTCTCACCAAGAAATCATGAGAACGACAATCAATCATCTCCAGTAGAAATCACAAAAAATTGACATAATTATTGTATAAGCTAAAAGTTTTGCCTTGAAATATCTGGTATGGGATATAAACTAGATTCAATTAGCAAGGGGTACCCACTCATACAGGTACATATACAACCATATGTACCTCCCCAAGTGTTCTACTGCCGTACCATATCTGCCAACCACTCTATGTTTGATCTACCATTTATATATATCTCCACGGATTTTTCCACTCTTCTATTCATTTTCTTGATCTTTTACAACGTTTAATGTACAAAGCTCGTATTTAGATAAAGTATACATTCACATCTGATAGTTTAACAACTCAAGAACCAGTTAGAAGAAATACACTATGTTTCGTATAGATTTTTGTAGATTATAAGCAGTGGGCCCATGAAATGTGTGATTAAAATGTGAAAAGTTGTGGATCCTACGGAATGTGTGGTTAAAAATGATTTATTATTATTATTATTTTTTTTTTTTTGAATTTCACCCCTCTCCAAATGAGACTCAAAGCCAGGTCATTGACTCGTTACAAATGATGTTTGGCCAGCTTAAATTATTAGCTCAGCTTTGATATGGATTAGATCTTAGTTGTTGTTGTTGTTGTTATTTTTTGAAAGTAAGTTCTTACTTTTTTATATGTAATATAAAGCATAAAATATATATCAAGCATAGAATGTCTCATTTCTTAGAATGTCTCATTTCCTGATAGGTTTACATTTCAACAGGCAAGTGATCATAAAGCAAAAGACTGCCATGCAATATAGTAAGGATTACACGTACTTTCACCACGGGGTGATACATGCCATGTCTCCCCTTGACGTGAACCAATGCCAGCAAAGAATTTTTCTTCCCACTTGTCTCCCCACTTGGTACCAAGTTCAGTCTCAGCCCATTTGTCTGTCCTGGAGATGAGCAAAACAAAACTTCAGTAACCTACAGAAGAAATAGCCAGTTCAAAATTTCCAGCAAGCCACTATTTTACTATCCACGCTATACGTTCAACAGTTCCTGTTTATGTTTTTCATGCAATCACAGTGATGAATGGGAACAAAAAGACACATCCTAAAAGTAGTTTTCACTTCAGCTAAAAGAAGTTCAGCATCAAGATTCACATAAGAGTTGTGCTCCTTCATTATTAATATGGAACTTTCTACCCACTGTGGAACAAAATTATGAAACAAAAAACACTTCCCTAGCATGGGTATTGGAAACCTTATAAATGGTCCAAAGACAATGAAAAATAAAAATAAAAAATAAAATAAAAATTGAAACGGTCATTAATGGGCAAATTTCTGAAGAGATTCTGAAGGTGCTGAGTAATTTAGCTGAGAGATTTCAATGTCGTTGTATTTTGACCTAGGTCCTGACCAATTAGAAAATAAATAAATAAATAGAAACATAGGGATGACGAGCTATATCGTGGAAGAAAGTGAAGAAAAGGAAAAGATACCATTTTAGGACTGATCCTCTCCCATCATAATGTTCTCCCCATTTTTCCCACCATGATTGTTCATTCAATCTACCATATTTATGTGCCCCTTTCTCAGTCCAGCCTTTCGCATCATATTTTTCCCACCTGTTTAGAAGGCATAAATTTTTAACCAACTTCAAGCAGATATCTTTTTGAATAGTTACTTTCTAATATAAGCATACTTTAGCTCAATATCTAACTTCTATTAATAAAAATAGAAGAGGAACGAGCAGAAGTATCCACAGAAGTATTAAGAGTTGGAGAATGATGGAAGAACACTGATGCAGGCTACTTTTTCAAATACAGGTTTAGCTTTAAGGCCAGTCAACTCCACATTCTACGCAAGATATAATATCCATGATGAACAAAAAATTACACATTTAAGTGAATCCAAATGGTAAGACAAAGTTGGCAGAATGTCTTGAATTCCGCACTCATAGAACCACAACTTAGCTTCTAATATCAGAGACACGAAACACAATCCTTTCTTCTTTCCGCTTTTGGAATATGATGATCTCATCTGATAGTGTTAACTAACCATAATAAATTAGTTGACACCGCTTGAAATAAGATTATCTCAACCTTTTGGAGCAGTAAAGATAGGTCATAAGGATATTCACTTCCAAGCAACACACTGCCATTAAAATGAACTGACTAGATATATCATACTGAATTCTTGCATGATAACACTAGAATAAATGTCAATCTCTTTTAGAATTTCGTGAACATATAATTCCCATTTTGTTATTTTAATCACCTGAAAAAATTAACCATTGTATGGTCTCCATAACCAGCACGGTATATTTTTCTCGGGTGAAATTTGAATCCCCCACCCAGCCAATCCCTGACTTACAAGTCATATCATTTTTTCTTCCGAAACTTCTAAAAATAGAGGTCCGGTTATTGTACTTAATCAGAAGAAATTCTATAGCAACCAAACCTTAAAGCAATAAAAAATATAATTTTTATTAGCAATATTGTAATCTACCCCCACCAAACCATGATTGTTTTCATTGTCTTTCAGTTTCACCAGACTTGAAGCTACAGATCTCTTCATACTTTTATGAAAAATACGACTTTGTTATGCTAATTTTGAGGTTGGACAAACAATAATGACTTCTCAGATGCTAGTACTGCCAAAAGCTTCTTCAAGTTTCATGATGTCCTACACACACACAACAATAAAAATAATAATAAGAAGAAATCCATCCCCTATCTCTTCCACACAGAGACAAAAATACAAAAAAAATAAAATAAAATAAAATTCATCCACTATCTCTACCACACAAAGACAAACAAAACCATGTTCAGGTTGGGTGGGAGCATTATTGTCAATAATACATTGGGAGAATGCATATTTAACCTCTTTGTTTCTTTCTTTCTCTCTTCACTTCCTTCCACCACCCACCTTTCACCTTAAAATTGACCCAAATTTTATGGGTTCAGCTACTCCTTATGTAATATATGCTTCATCAAGAATGGCATTTTAACTTCGTCGCACTCATGCAAAGCTATATCAGTAGTTCGGAGATAAAATATCAGTTGTCTTAAATGGTCACAAAGGAATATAATTCATTGAACCCTTGAAATAAATGTAATAAGTCAGCGTACCTAATGTCAATGCAAAACATAAAAGGAAGTAAAGGAATACTAACAAGTGCAAGCAAATGCACAGAGCATTGTTCTTCTTTAAGATTGTTCTCATCAAAATTCTTTGCACACTTATATCAAAAAAACATTCATAGAAACATCATATAATAGTAAGTACGCACAGTTTCTTTCCACTCTGAGGTGCCGTCATTGCTCTGACCACCCATTCTCGTCCATCTACATCGGTAACCATTTTCTCCAAGATCCTCCCCACTTTCTCGATACCAAGTACTGCCATCTTCATTGGTCCCAGATTCATTAACATTTTCATTTAACAAACTGATACCCCAGTCTTTCTCGTTTGCAATACCAGTATCTACGTAAAAGGAGTAGTAAGTACAACATACCTTGTTAGATTACACGTAAGAACCAATAATTAACATCATTTATATACATATGCACAATAAGATGCTCCTAGATAGTCCTATGGTAGTCTGAAATATGACATAATTAGAAAACCAAGCATAGGAATATACATTCATATTACCTCGTTTAGGAGGAGAATCACGAGACTGAGGACCTGAATTTCTTGGACTGCAGCGAGGAAAGAATTTATCTTGTTTTGAAATAAATCGAGGTCTGCAACATCAATAAAATTTTTAAAAATTAATAAACTCTGATCTGATATATATCTTGCCATTGCAATGGGGTACGAAATATTATTTTTTTATCTGTGAATTCTTATTCCCATATAAACCTTCTGAAAGACAATAGGTCACAGTCCTATCACTTATGCCAAGTATCCTAATCACAATCCTGTCTCCTAGGTACAAATTCATATAATTTCCCTCAATATTATGGCATCAAAACCACTCATACGCTACTCAAACATAGCCTTCTCCAACCTCAGATACCTGCCATGCACCCACTCGAAAGCTACTATTTATCAATCTTAACTATGTAAACTAAGGAATTATTAGAAGCTTTATACAGCAAAAATTCATGGAAACACCCCACTGGTTAAGTACAATATCTTTGTGTCAAAAATCGAAATTTCTTGCTTTTTTCAATCAATATAATCTCACACAATGCATCATTTTAGTCATATTTTATTGTCATTCTTTCTAATTTTTCATTTCCCCCTTGCTTTATTTTGGGTCAACACATAAGAGACACTTATGAGTATTTTCTTTCCTCTTCCTTATTGTTAAAATGTTCTATATATCTGATACATGCTAGACTTATTCAAATTCTTCAGTTTATCGGGAGAAGAAACCAAGACATATCCCAATTCTTCCGTTCTATTGCAAATAAACAAAACTTGGCAGTGCTAGTTACAAATTGATATTATGCATTCATATATTCCAAAGGTTATTCTCATACAGAGGAAAACAGTAAACAGAGCACGTTATCATCACAATCACTACTGCAAAGTCAATATCTTTTAGTTAGCAAGTTCACTATTTACTTGATTCCAATGCTTTGGAAAAATTCAGCTCTTCATGAGTAGAAATTAGCTCTCCTTTTAAAAGGGATAATCCACTTCTTCTTCTTTTACAGGAATAGTAACCTTTTGAACCTTTTGTTTAAGGAAAAGGGAACTTCTTTGTAGTTAACCAAAAGATAAAGAAAAATTGAATATATTAGAAGAAAAAGTAGAGAAAAATAAAAATAAAAATAAAAATAAAAATAGAAAACCTACTGAGGAGAAGCAAAGCGCATAGCGGGGGCCCGAACCACCTGAGAATTCTGACTCTTCTTCATGTCGAACCTCCAGTCCTCACACTTCTCCACATTATTGCCCGATCCTGTAGCCATCCGAATAGGAACAACAGAATCCGAACAGCAACACTTAACCACTCCCCAATCACTCGTCAACAGCCTCCTCTTCTTCCTCCGCATCTCCAAAACCCCATTCTTATCATTCAAAGTCGCCACGTCAGCTCTCCTCAGCCTCAAATTAAACGGCATCGTAAATCCCCTAGAAGTTGCAGCAGTCGCCATATACTCTTTTTTTCACAAGAATGCCATCAACCAAAAAATCAGTGCAGAAACTTCAGTTGACTAAACCCTAGATTCTAGATATTTCTCCTTGGTTTTCTTGGTGGGATTTCCTATTTTCGAAATAAATACGTAGAAAATCAGCAGATTAATCAAAAAGAGTGAAAGTGAGAGCAAGGAACGGCAGGCATTGGTAGAGAAAAAATCCGAGAGAATCTGTGTTTGGTTTGGCAGAAAGATTTCACTCTTGATTTGAAGTTAATCAATCTGCTGATCATGCCCTCAATGATACATATATATAAACACGATTTGTACATGTATGAAATATAGATTGTATATATTCTTGACTACACTGGTAAATTGCAGAGGGAGTTTGTGAATTGTGAAATGGGTTACGGTAGCAGTGATAGGAGAATGAAACAAAGGGCGCAAATCCCAGGACTGAAGCGACACGTGAGCAGAGCAGAGAGGAGGAGGAGGGGGATGTGGGCCCAGATTTTCAGATTTGAATCCAGACTACTGTTCCTGATTTTCCACGTGGCATTTTATGATTCATCGACGATATCGGTAAGTGTCATTCACCAACTCATCATAAATCTCAAGAATTTCTTTTTTTTCCCCCAAAAATCATATGCTTAGACGAATTTTGTTATTTTTTATTTCTTCCACGTCAGGAGGGACCGTTTCAATCCAATTATTTTCTATAGTAAAGCTATACGTACAAAATAATTTTCATAGAAGTGCTATAGAAATTCAAACTGAAGGGCACGTGTCAGGTGAAAAAAAGCCAAGAACAGTTAGTTGGAGAAAATTATTAGAAAATTTATTAAATTACTTATGTTTTTGTCTTAATTTTCGGGTTCATTACGAGATATCAAATGAGATCGAAATATTACATTCTTAATATTATTTTGAAGTTCTCAAGGCCTAGTATTTTACGTCGTTAACGGTGCGTGAAACGGCCAATGGTAGCAAATATTACTGCGCGTCAAAGTAGGTCTTTTCAAACTAGTATTTCAAGAATTTCGATAACAAGTTAACTTTAAAAATTTTTCGACGATTCTACGCTAGTCGAATCCATAAATTTTCTATATTCTCTTAAACCTCATTACGAGAACTATATAATAGACACATCAAATTATCCAAATGAATATCGAAAATAATTAAACGTACATCAAACGTGTGTGTTAAAAATACGTATAACTAGTCTTTTTTTTTTAAAAAATAATTATTTTATTAATATTTATTATTTTTTAACTACAAATTTTTCAATATAATTTATATCATTTTATTAAAAAAAATAATGTGATAATGAAAAAATAAAAATAAGAAAAAAGTTCCTAAAATTAATTTTTTTAAACATTAATAAATGTTTGATGTACATTTAACTATTTTTTCAAACAAAAAAAAAAGTTCCTAAAAATGATCAAATTTTTTATATATAAAAATTTGTCAGATGTAAAATAATCAGGATGAAAAAAAGTAGCATAATAATTTATAACACATAAATTATAAAGTAATAATAATTTTATTAGGAAATTTTACGTCAAAAAAATGGCGTCATACCAAATAATTTTTTTTAAATAAAATGATGTTGAAAAATTGCTGTGAAAAAATAATGAACATTAATAAATTAATTGATTTTATTTTTTAAAGAAAAACGAGTTATACGTATTTTTTAACAAACACGTTTGATGTACGTTTAATTATTTTCAATATTTATTTAGATCATTTGATATGTTTATGATATAGTTCTCGAAATAAGCTTTGAAAAAATATAAAAAATTTATGGATTTGACTAACGTAGAATTGTCGAAAAATTTTTAAAGTTAGCTTGTTATTGAAGTTTTATAAATACTAGTTTGGAAATGCCTACTTTGACGTGTCGTAGCATTTGCTATGATTGGCTGTTTCGCGCACTATTAACTACGTGAAATACTAGGCCTTGAATACTTCAAAATGATATTAAAAATGTAATATTTCGATCTCGTTTGATATCCCGTAATAAGCCCGAAAATTATGACAAAAACATAAATAATTTAATGAATTTTCTAATAATTTTCTCCAACCAACCGTCCTTGGCTTCACCTTTCACCTAACACTTGCCCTCCATTTTGAATTTCTGTAGCACTTCTATGAGAATTGTTTTGTACTTGTAGCTTTACTCTATTTTCTAATAATGTATCTGAGAATAATAGATTTATGGTTAAAAAATAAGAAAAAAATTTGAATTTACGTATAATATTATTTTATTAAAGAGTCCGTAGTTGATAAGAAATGAGAGAAAATATATGTTCTAAAAAGAATGGATCAAACAAGGGTTGAACATTTGGAGAAATTTGGGCCATCAAGCTTTAATTTATCTTAATTGGACGGTTAAACTTAACTTCAATTTCTAATTTCACCGTTATGTCATATTCTATTACATATTCTCTCCATACTAATGAAGAAAAATATGTTTCACTTCAAATTTGTACTCCACGGCAAGTTGAAATTTTACTTTATAAAATTAGACATGCGATGATCACATGATGTTATAGCAAATAAAACGATTTTTGTCTCAGAACTGATTGTGCATGTATAACGAAAGTTATAACATGGTTACTTCGTTGTAAATGTTGAATACTAACTTATTGATCGGATATTAATTTGAGGACCAAGAGTGTTAACCATATCTTCAAAAAATGCCTAGCTATTTTTGGTTGACGTGAATTTTCTTCCATAGAGAGATGCCGTTTTCTTGTGAGTAAGTAGCTTACTTATAGTTTGTTAAACGACACAACTAATTTAGCAATGATTTTTGGTAATTTTAAGTTCACGAGCTTTCTTCTAGAGCATTATATATGATATATTAAATGAACTACTATGAAATATTTACGTAGTCGACTGTAGTTACAATCAAAATAATTTTGGAACACGTACCCAAGAAAACTCAACCAATTCATCCACTATGGTTTTCAATATAAAAAAGAACAACTTGATCCCTAAATTTATAAAATAAAACAACTAATCCTATTAACAAAACTATTCAATTATTGTAAATCGTCAAGTAGCTTGAGCTCATGTCCGATAGTCTCAAGTAAAATTTGTTTTAACGAAATTGTAGAACAATTTACCATAAATTTAGACAGTTTAAATAACCGACGAAGCTACACAAAATGTCTTCAATTTGAGTACTAAAACCCCCGTTTGACCCCCATTATCTGAAATTGAAAATGGGGGGAATAATATTTTTTAGAAAAATGAGCGGTTGAAAAAGAAGGAAATTTTTTCGATTTACGTGTAATATTATTTTATGGAAGATTGTGTGATTGAAAATAGGAAAGAAAAAAATATAATGTAATGTATTTGAATTTAATATAGATCAAACGGGGGCAAAGTTTCAAAAAGGTAAATCAATTTTTTATTTTTATTTTTGAATTGAGATTAAGAAAAGTAAGAGTATATGCCAAGTTTTCTTTGCCATTCCACGTGTCAACACCAGGTTGATTGATCCTTGTCAGAGATTCATGGATAAGATGAAAATCTTAGAAACTTACGTGTCAAACAGAAGATGACAAGGCATTCTTGGTCAAAAATAATACCACGTGGATCTAAAGTTTTAGACGTAAGGTTTCTGCCACTGAACGAGCAAACCAAAAAAAACCAGAATTCCTCATTCTTGTGCATTTGGATAAGATCAATGTCACCTCACTGACCAACAACATTTTCCCCTCTCTTGGTTGAAATTCATCACAAAATGATAATCTTAAATCCACAAAAAATCATTGAGAGTTTGTGCTAAAATTTCTAATCTCAATCCAAAAGATAAGAAAAGGATCTCGAATTCTTCTACTTTTTATAACATGTGACACATTATTAATATTGAATAGTACTACAAAAAAATAAAAATAAAATTCAAATCTTGTTTATCATATTGTTTAGTCTAATTTGCATTAAATTTGTCATTAGAGTGCCTTTCTTTTACCATCTGTGAAATTATAAATCTGTTTGGCAAAATTTTGACTTTTACTTCTATTTTTCATAGAAAAATTCATGAGAAAGTTATCTAAGATCATCTTCATCTAAGCTCGATAAAATACATCCAAAAAGTAATCCGAACATGTTCAAAAGCAATTTCTTAATCTAAAACGAAACTTTTGACCTTCAAAACTCCAATGACGGCACTCAGGTGATAATGTTTGATTCGCAAGACATGGAGGAAAATGTACGTGTATACTTGCATACTATGATGGCATAGAACAAAAACAAATCAATAACTAGTTGTTTTGTTGTTGATCTCTTCTATCTTCGATTTTGGATGAGATGAGTATGTCCGGACTAACAATGACTATTGTGTGCTAACGAACCGATCTGCAACAAGTTCCGATGAATCATGACCGTGAATTCAAGGGACACAATACAAGTTGAGTCTTCCATGTGCCACAAGTTCATAAGAAGCCAATCCAACTGGCATAAAGCCACTTGGTAATACCAACAGGAAAGGTTGAAAAAGTTCTTACATGATGTTATTCTAGATTTGAAATACAATACTAAGCACTATAATCTTCTTATACATAATCTTCTTATACAATTCATCCTATCAGAACTTCAAAATAATTATGATGTTCAAGAAAGTATTGCAACAAATAAATGGACTACGACTAACATTCTATAAAGCAAGCAACGCTTGTGTCTTTATAAAGCACCACGTCGCATGTACATTGAATACAAGACCATTTTTCTACGTAATATATAAATGACTATGAGAAGAAAATGCATTTGTTGTTGAAACTAATCTTTCATTAAAGAGAGAGAGAGAAGAAGAAGAAGAATAAGTTGTTTCGTGCCCATCAAGGAGAACTTCTCCAAGTCTTGAGATAACATGACATTAGATGGTTCCAGTCAGAACTCAAGCTCATAACCAGATTATTTATATAGGGACAAGTAGATTATTAGATAGTTTAATATTAAATTAAAAAATAAAATAATTTACATAGGCCACCAATATCTCCCAGGTCTCTCTATGTCAAGACCAAAAACTTGGCTCGCTCAAACTATCTAAAAACAATCTGCCTAAAATAAGTTAACAGAATGTATATGCCTCCAGTTAGTAGATGGTCTCACCATGTTTCCTCAAAACTGTTTGGCTGAGCCTTCTTACTCTGTTGCAGCCACCACTGCTCTTTTTGCTAAATCCTCCATTGTAATCACAAAAGAAAAGGGTCCTCGTACTCCTTGAAGGTTGCATTTTTACCTCTAAGAAAAGTCGAGTGTAATATAAAGTATGTTTTCTGAACAAAATTTGCTTTCTTCCACAAGACAATTCACCTTGTTGTACAAGTACTAGGGGCCGAAATTTCCAAATGGAAAGGGCACCCATGAATTTATTCAATCCGAAAGCAACTCATCCAACTCGAGCTCCTCGTCCAAGCTGGCTTCATCATGCGAGTCTTCTAGTTGCTTATTACTTGTATCGTCATCATCTTCAGGATCAGACCATTCCCGTTCATTGTACATGTTTTGATCTTTAACAACTACATCCACATTTCTCTTGTCTGGAACAGATACCATACCAAGTTTTGGTGGACCTGGTCTCATCTTTGCTTTAGCCTCGGAATCTTCACAGATGCAGGCAGTTGGGTATTCATGAAATTCCCCCCTCCCTGGCTTCATCTCATCTGGCTCTCCCATAAAACCTCTTTGAAATGTACGAACATTAGAAGCGAATTCCCCCCAAGTCATGTTATTACGGTTCATGAACAGCTTGTATAATTTTTTAGCATTTGGACGAATTGTAGGTTTATGACCAAAATATCTCCTGCAAACGTCAGACATAAACTCAGTCATGAGCAACTGAAAATTATGATGCATTCCACCAAAAGTTAGGCCGGAAAGAAAATAGAAAATAGAAACTAGAAGCATATACCTTCTCCCTGCTATGATTTTTGCCATATTTCCATTGTTATTTGTGACAAATACATCACTTTCGTCACACACTATAAAGTCTAATGCAGCCATGCGAGCGGAAAATGCAGAAAATGGTTCCAACTCCTCCTTCGTTGATATTGTTTCTTTAGAATAGAAGTAAGGGAAAAGTGCCTTTAAAGGGGCCAGTTTTTCTTCCCCTTTATATACTTCTCCAGATGCCACATATATATGAGTATCTCTCCCGTATCCAAGTGCTCTTAGCATCAAACCAACTTCCTCAGGAGTAAGAGGGCATCTTCCTTGCCTCCTCCCCCTATCTGGATTACTATTCTGCAAATCGAACCACAATATATCTCATATATGCTTTCATATTTCCTGTTAAATTATATAACTTTTTGTGAGACTGGATATACAAATGAGCATGGTTCCTCTTCCTGCACACGAGGAGGAGGACTCAAATACACATTCAGACTCAGAAATATTATTCAAATCCAGCATTAAATCAGGAAAAAATTTGTTTGCGTAACTTTGTTATTCCAACAGGCGACAGCACATTGTGGTGATTGTCCTGGTACTTTGTAAACTACACACGATTACAAAACACCTTTCAAATACATCCCCTTAAATAAATATCTTATATTGCTTAATGGTTCAAACAGTCATTGCATCTCATATCCTCATTCAAATAGAAAACCTCGAAGTTGTTTGCAGCATTAATTTATTCCTTGAACATCCACCTTTTCCCGCTATCAAGAGCTCATCTTAACATGCCAAATGCAGAAAATTAAAGAAATAGCAAGGACGTGGAAAAATCATAGATGCTGGAAGTGTAACAACGATGACCGACCTCACCAACATATCTTTGTTATTTCAAATATATATCACAAGCGTCACTCAATCTGATTTACATAATTTGAACTTCAAAAATAATATATGAATACTTACATGTAATGTTTTCCACCTCCTCCGTAATTTACCCAGTTCCCTCTTCTCCTTATCTCCTCCACCATAATAACATCCAGAGAATGCAAGCATATCAGGTTCAAACCTGTAAACAGGAAATCCTACTTGAGGTACTTTCTCATCTTCATTATTCTTTGTTAAAACAACATATTAAGCTAAAGTCTTCCTTGTTAAAACAACAAATCAAAGAACAGACTTTCTTGTTAAATCACCATATTAAGGAACAGCGTTAAGCTGGGTAAGATCAGCTAATTAAAGCCAAAACTCGTAGAACCGCAGAATATTCTTACACAATATATAAGATGACAAAGTGGGTTCAATTAATTATCAAAACAAAGCAAATCTGTTTGTCAGCAAATACCTTGTACCAAACAGGAATCTGTCTTATGAAATTACGCTTCAAAGAGAAGTGAAGGGCTAGAAATAGAAATCAGAAAAAAATAGAAGCAAGGATCATCTCATTACCTTAGGTGAAGAGCAATATAACGCTTGCTCTTGATTCTCATTTTCTTCACTAATTTTGCTCCCATTTCAAGGATAGGGTTAGTGAACTTCAAAGCATGGTAATTGACTCGGCATCTAAGCTTTTGCAGATCTGTCTTCAACCTATTAGAAAGTCTATAGTCAAATTTTGACAACTGAACAGCCTGTCACGAAAGTATACCATACATTACTAGCTTGGAACAACAATAATCTAATAACAGAAAAAAGTAGAATATAGTTAAGAGTAGAGAATTTTAAAAGGTCCTAATCCCAGAACAAGAACTAATTCAATTATATTAGTACTTGGCATAGTTTCTTTTATGTAGGTCATCAACACAAAAAACCGTTGTTTAACTTTTAGATAAAATGAAAAAAACCAACAGCTCTGCATGATTACCTATCATAACTTGAATGTGGGAACTAGGGAGGCAGAAAATGAGGGTTGGTATTGACATGGGAACTGCAAAACCTTTTGGGCCAAAATTTTAACAAAACTATGCATCTCTGATAGTATAACTCAAACACAAAATAAATAATAGTCATCAATAGTAGAGTGACACCATATTAAGGCATAAGTCACGGTGAGAACATCAATTAACTGTGATACTCCTCCTAGTAATCAAAACTAAATGTTGAAATAAGAAAGTACTTAAGAGGCCGGGTGGATGGAAGTTAATTCCGGTTCCAATAAGACAACAGGAAGTGGCTCTTAAATGGGTTCCACATCATTATGTCAGTTTTCTACTTTCAGATTTAACTCCATTTCTACTATCTAAATAGATGAACTTCATTTCCTAGAGACTATTTATATGATAAATATGTAAAACAGTTCAAAGTCTTCAATCTTCAAATGCTCCTAAATTTGAAGCAGTATCATGTTAGCATAGAAGCAGTACGCCTCTGTGTCAGAGCTCTCTCCTTACGTCACAGTTTAGAAATCAACACAAAGAGCTGACACCCACAAATGCCATACAGTGACACAATTATGTTTGAGAAATGGCATCAATCTCAATCTCTTGGTCATTCACATTTATAACTAAAATTTATACATGAGAAACATTTAATTGACACATGATAATTGGACACAAAAATATTGTAAGTTCCAACATTTTCATTGTGCATCTATATGCATAACAATGGTGTATCTTCCAACTGAAGTATATAACAGAAAAAGAGTTTATTTTAGGTTAAAATTTTAAGCAATCCACTAGCTTACATGCTTCTTTGTAAGTACAGGCAATACACGCTTAATATAGCATCCTTCATTGCACTTTCGTGGAACTCGCATGTTATGTGGAGTCCATATCTGCCCTCTCTTTGGTGGAAGCTCTTTAATGATTTTGACATCTTCTGCTAGATATGATATAAACCAATCAACGTTGAAGATATCCGAAAAGTTGCTGCAGAAGAAAGAAACATTATGAGCCAAGACAAAACCATTGCATTGTTAAAGCTTAGTCAAACAAATTTTCCAAGAATTTACCTATCATCCTTCCAGAAAGATCTTTTGTCCAGCTTTGGGACAACAAGAGTAGCATTCAGGATGCGAGCAGCAACAACAGAATCAGTTATCTACCGAATGATACGCAACTTAAGATTTAGAACTTAGCATCAAGATCATTAGTATACTTAATACATTTGTAGGAAAGAAATGAAACGGTCTACTAAGATCGACCATTATATATACCTTTATCTTTCTCGAGAATCAATGCCTAAAAGCATTCACCAAAAATAGAGGACATATGGTTAAGGACAAAAAGCAATTTACAAGAACTACATTTCAGCATATAACGCTTCAGATATAATATAACACCTAATGAATGGTAAGGTGTACTGTACAATGCTACAGTAGTTTGAGCCACATTATTTTCACAAAAATGCATTTTTGAATAGTGTAATGATGGGAAATGTGTGATTAAAAAATAAGGAAAGTTTTTGGATTTGTGTGTAACATTATTTTATTGAAGAATGTGTGGCTGAAATTATATCAAATCAATATTTAATAATGTACCTTTTTCCAAATAATATGGATCAAATGGGGCCTAAGAAGGTAACAATGAACTAAAATCTTATTTATTATAGCGTAACATACAAAACATGGACCAAGTGTATATCTTTGCTAACCATGGAGAGAAGGAATTATAGAACAAAAGCTACCACAAGTTCCATTATCTATGAATGACCAGGAAAAATCCAGCTTTATCAAATAATTGTAAACGTGAATGGTTCCAACATGACATGTTCAATGCATGCAATATACAGTAGCATGACTGACTATGTTCATGATTCATCTCTAGCATTTAGGATTTGATAAGAAGGTGACGAAATGCTAAAATGTGAAAGTAGAATGAAATATCACCTGTGAAAGTAGAATGAAATATCACCCATCTAAAAAGCATCCTACTTCAAATCCACTATGTAAGCATTTACCATTATAATCACAACTCTACAGCATTAGTGTGAATATGAGTGTGAAAGTTGATTGTTAATATGTTGTAAGTTTCCTAGTTCTAACAATTAGGAGTTGAATTCAATTGTGCACAAAATGACAATAAAGTCTTAACCTCTGCATAATCAATTAACCACTCTCAAACAAGAAGGAGAAGAAATTATAAGGCAATTTTCCCTTCCAATAGGTAGATAGATGGTCATCAAAGATTCATAAACTCCTCCATAAAAAATGAATGAGAGAACATGTATTCAGGAAAACATACCCCAGTTCTTTGTTGGTTTAAACCTCCACTGGTTGCAATTGCCAGGTAACGATTAGGCTGTGTGACGTCTTCAGATTCTATTATTGGAACAGCAATATTTGGCCAATGTTCAGTAAAATGATCAATTGAAAGCGAAAGACAGACTAAAATCTCAATCAGCAAAATGCATTCAAAAATCAACAAATAAAACCTAAAAACAACAGCATAGAAGCGCACCAAATTATATACATATATGCATGTATGTGTCAAATGAGAAAGGAACCTAAAAGCCGTAATAAGGGTCACGCACTTGCGAATTTACTGCTTGCATTGCTGCATCCATTGTAAAATTGTGCGTTTTCTGAACTCCAAATATCACGATCATATACTCTTCCATTGATCTAGATCCTCATCACCCAATTCATATATCGTTTAGAAAGATATAAAACCAAGATGCAATCAACTAAATTCAAACAATTAAAACAAAAGGAAACAAATTCAGATGAAACCCTTACCGGCACACGAAAAACTGGCATTTCGTTCGCTTCATTAACGTCATAATTCCTCTAAAAAAAAAAAAAAAAGGAAAAAAGAAGTAGAACCAATGTAAAAATGCATTTTCACATTAAAAAGAACCCGTCATTCCATGACATAGCTGAATAAATGAATACATTTGAAAGTGAAAAAAACAGATACCGAGAAATAGTGTTGAGAGCGATGGAGGAGATCATTGTGGACAGGAGAAGGCGCGAAGAAAGAGAGGAAAATGAAGAGAAGGAGAAGAACCGAGGAAATGGCGGCGATGGCTGGGATAAGATACCGCACACGGCTGTAGTACTGGTGGCGCCGCCGTGGGATAGCCATGTATGATTGGCGCGAATATTGATTGATTATTAATTTCTCTAACAGCATGGAAAAGAGTACATAATTACAACTAAGGAAAAAAAAAGGAAGGAAGCTCAGATTTGAATTAATTGAAATTTGGCATTGAAACCAATTTCAATAGCGACAAAGATTCCAGAATTCATCTAATGAAATTTCAGGCGCCAATTCTGTTGGGACAGGTTGTTGGAAGACGATGAGCCGACCAGTTAAATCCGGGAGGGACGCCCTGATCACATGCTGTGCACGTGTTTGTAGTTGATGAAAATGTTTCTTGTTTTAGGTACATTTACTTGAGGCAAAATTGCATTTCAACCTTGAAAAAGAAAAGAAGAGCGTTTTGGTTTTGACTTTCTTCCTTATACATACCGTCAGTTTCCAACAACGAAAATTATTTACATTTTTATTGAATTGTCACATCATATGGTCCATAATTGGCAGATCACGAAAGAACGATGGCATAATGGTAATCTTGGTCGTAGGTTTGCCACCTGATGCTATCAAAAATCGTACATGTTGATTTTTCGAGTTTGACGATTTTGAGTGAGTACGATCGTAGTCTTTCGGTACCTGAAACAAAGGCAATGAGGTATGTTCTCATCGCCCCTCCGATACTTAAGTCAGAAAGGGAATTATATGCCTGAGACTATAAACTGGAGAATAATCAGAACGTACCTGGATAATGACCCATG